AGATTTGTTATTTTAGAGAGAATGTTTATCTAATCCCAAAGTATTTCTCACAATGCAATAAGAATCACATTTTTATTCTCTCTTGGCAGTATGGTCTCTCTGTGTCACCCAGTTTGTGGTCTTTGTGGTCACCGAGTCTGTCCTGTCTGGACAGCCAGGTCTGCTTGTGTCCAGTGTCTAGGTCCAGGCTGTGGTGACTGAGCCTGAGCTCTTTGGACAGCTGGCTATGCTGTCTGGCACAGCATCACAACCTGGGCATCACCTATGCATAAACAACCTGCTTACATGATTCACAATCTGTAACAGATTTATTAAGGGACTAAAATAAGTCTTAAAAACAAAGAGTACTGTGAAGTGCTAAACTATTTTTGTGGCAAAGGTGTACTTTCTTGTGACGCATCTCCACATGGAATGGGGACTGTACTGTCACATAACTTGCTGGATGAAGCAGACTGGATGTATGCCCCATATTTTGACATTCTCTGAAAATAATTATTCTCACGAGACAAAAAGGGTTTAGCCGTGGTGTTCGGCATACATGGTTTTAATAAATATTTGTATGGATGGAAGTTTGCTATCTAAACAGATCACAAACCTCTCCTATCACATTTTAACAAGGTGAAAGGTGTGCCACAAGTAATGTCACCCAGAGTCCAAAGATGGACAGAGACACTACAAGTCTATGAATATTCCACAGTGTACAAGGCAGGGGGGAGGAGGGGAATGCTGATGCTTTTAGTCTTCTTCCACTTCCAGAGACGTCACAGAGCCCAGTGTTGCTCTTTGAGGGTGCAGACACTGGCCTGGTGGAAGACAGCCAAGTCAGATCAAGGACAGGTACAGACCCTATCCTATTTAGAGACTGTGTATTTAAAGTTTGAAAACAACAACCCCAAAAATGTGGCTTTGTACTGTACAGATTTAGACAAATTCAGTTGGGTGTGAGGACGGATGCTTTCTGTGAGGGGCGCAAATAATTATCCCACCACGAGGGTGGAAGGCAGTTCTAAACTAATTTCATCAGTTCAGGTGGGTACTGTAGCTGCGTCAGCATGCGAAGTTTGCAAAGGAACAAGTAATAGGTTTATTCCATGCTGGAAAGAGAAGAGAGAAAACACAACATTTCGGCTGTGAAGCCTTCTTCAAAGACAAAAGCCTTCAAAGCCTTCAAAGAAGGCTTCACAGCTGAAATGTTGTGTTTTCTCTCATGAGCCCATAACAGCAGAAACCACCATGCAGGGGCAACACTGGAAGAAAACAGGGAGGTGATAGAAGCTGGACAGCAAGTGGAGAAAACCTGCCCAGAGAAACCCCACAATTCAGGAGTGGACAACAAGCTGCATCGCTCATGGAGAATGAACAAACTTCAAAGTTAGTTTTGAAGATTGTGAACTGTAAAAACATATAATCATTGTTTTCTGGGAAGTTTAAAAGTTCAGTTGAGTTGTAGTTGTGTAAAGGAGTATAACCAAATGTTTGCCAACTTAAAAAAAAACCAGACTTAAAGGGGAAGGTAAGAAGTAGATTGGATTTACTGTTGGTGCCACTAGAGGGCAGTAGAGTACGGTTAATAGCTGGGTCTAGAGAAGCGAGGAGGTTGTGCAGAGTAAAGAGTGCACAAACCGGTGTGAGTTAGTTCTCGAGAAAAGAGTTAATATCCCACAGTGTTATTACCTGCATTTAATTTACTTACTGTAGTCATGTACTCAGCTAGTGTGTCTTGTCTGTTTAGGGTAGTGCAGCATTCCAGTATGTGTTGTGTTTGTGTGTGTCCCAGTGGGTAGGGTAGTGTTATTTGTCTTGTTCTGTGTTTGACTTTCATTAATTTTTTTTAGTTGTGTCCTGTGCCCTGAAGTTGGTTGGTGCCAGTGGGCTTCAGAGACTGATGTTGTTGTTATGTATGTTGGGTTATACAGTTTGGGCTAATGACTATATCATGAGTACAGATGACAATTAAAAGATGTATGGTTTATAGTTAAAATGACCATTAATGGTTTATTTGTTCTCTGGTGTTTGGCCTATGCTTTGCAGGTGTTCGATTATGGGTTATAATCCCTGTTATAAGTGGCCCAGTTAAAAGTGGCCCCACACGACAGTTTGACTGGAGCAGGCTCCTCCCAGGGTTTAAATACCAAACCTAGGCTAAATGAAACCCAAGTGAGAGTGTGACTCTTGTGGCAGCAAAACTAGTTTAAATGAGTAAAACTAATATCATTACTGCTGGCCTACCCCCATTGGGGTCAAATGATCCCTGTACAGGAGTCACCACTGATATCAAACACACTTCATGAATTAAAACTTCTCTCTGCTCTCTGTCAGTATCGAAAACCACACCCATTTTTCCGAAAACCACACCCCCTGCACCTCTGTATAGCTCTGTGGAGAACCAGGAAGTCTCACTCAGAAAGTTAGTTTCATTTTACTAGAAATAGCCTCACAGTACCACTGTCTCTACGACTCCTCATTCTGCAGTTTTTACTAACCAGGAAAAATGGCAGAAGGCAAGATTCCAGTTTCACAGGATGAGTTCATCTGTTCAGTGTGTCTGGATTTGCTAAAGGGTCCAGTGACGCTTCATTGTGGACACAATTACTGTATGGAGTGTATTAAGACCTACTGGGATAGGAATGAAGATACTCGTGTCTACAAGTGCCCCCAGTGCAGACAGACCTTCACCCCAAGACCTGATCTAAGAAGAAACACCACTCTGGCTGCAGTGGTGGAGAAACTGAAGAGGAGGGGGGATAAGCGTCCTTATCCAGCTGATAACCCTGCTGGTCCTGGAGATGTGCCGTGTGATGTCTGCAATGAGAGACAGATGAGAGCTGTGAAATCCTGTCTGGTGTGTCTGGCCTCTTACTGTCACACTCACCTCGATCTTCACTATGAGCTCAACCCAGGAAACAGACACAAGCTGGTCGATACTATAGGACCTTTGCAGGAGAGGATCTGTTCCAGTCATGAGAAACCCTTGGAGATTTATTGCCGTACTGATCAGAAATGTATTTGTTATTTGTGCAAAATGTATGAACACAGAGGCCATGATACAGTCTCAGCTGCAGAAGAGAGGACTGAGAAACAGGTGAGGACTTTGAGTTTGTAAATCAGGTGACATCTAATCTGTCTGATACAGGGGCTAGTTAGAGTGTACGCAAGGTTCTGTGAATTTATTGATGGTTTTGTCTTACACATTTATATTTTATTTCCTTTGAAAATGTATACATTAGCATCAGCCGGAAGTGAGACTGATTTTCTCAAGCTTCCAAAAGGCTGAATATCTGAATATTTAATGTTGAATTTGTCTATTATCAAAATGATTCCTACTGGGCTGGTAGGAGAACTTTCAAAACAGGCTTATAACTCAGTTTTTTGTCTCTATGTATTCATATAGCTACAGACAGTTCATACATCTTTATCTGGGCTCAATAGCGTAGTACAGGTATAGTTTGAGCAGTGAAATGGATGATTATATCTTAAAAGAAAACTCCTTTCATAGCCATTGTCATGACCGGATTGAAAGGTTTGTCCTCACCCCTCACTCATGTTAATTCATTAGTAATGATGAAAATCCAACTCTGAGCTGAGTCAACTGATTCATGGACTCATTTCATCACACACTGACATGTCTGTACACTTCACCAACAGAGTGATCAAGAATAATACATTTCAAGAATGGTGGCGGAGTGCAGAGTCCTTGGTTGTAACCTGGCTCCAGGCCGCAGGCTTTGGGGAAAGTGTTTAATTGATTAGGTTTTCTGGCTACCTATATTTCCTCCCTTCTCTGAAAGGCTTGAGTGCCTTTTCTATATTTTCCTTTTTTTCCCTGTCTGGGACGTGTGAGCTCACAGTCCTGCCTTGAACCCTGTGCCACTGCAGCTGTTTGTCTTTGTCACGACATTTGCAGATCTTCTAATTCCCTCAGCTCCAAATGCAGATGCCTCCTACACAGTTGTTTTCTTGAGGAATATATTTCAGCTCAAAGCAAGTTGTATTTCTAAAGTGCATATATGTGAAATTGAGCAGTTTGATCACTTTTGTGTCTTGATAGCCTGTGGATCAGTGAGGCTGCAGCAGCTTTGCAGATGTTGCAAGCCAGTCAGTGCTGTTGAAGAGGGAGCCAAGTTTCTGCTCCCAGTTTCCAGGTTAATCCAAGTCCCCATCCTCTCCTTCTCAGGAGATGGATGAGAAGAGGTGGAAATGGGTGGAAATGGGTTTTATTGACCCAGTGGCAGAGCCTCTTTTAGTCATAACTCTTCCAGACTGAGAAGGACCATTGGAAGCACAGGCAGCTAGTATCTCACTGGGCTGAGATCTGCAGACTGACCCTGCTGACTAGCTCAGAGCAGACACTTGGGAATCCAACATGAGGAACTAGTATGTGTTCAAAGGGAAAAGATTGTGGGTTCTTCTAAACTAACATGTTACCACAGTGAATATAACAAGAACAATCGGACTGTAACTGGATGGAGGCTATTTAAATATCCCAGTCATAATCAATTATGGGTAGTCTCTTCCAGCATTCAAAAACTTCTGCATGAAATGATGTCTCCTATTGTCAATGTTAAATGGACTGTCATGTGGTTCTCATTCTGTCCTCCAGTTCATGCTTTCATTGTTTGTCCTGAAGAAATACAATAAGTTGACATTAAAATTCCCTTTGAGAGATATGCATTTTTATATTGGATAATCTTGTCATCTTTGCTTTTTAAGGCTGACAAATTCAGTCCTTTAATTTATTTCGTCTCAATGTTAGAATCATCAGTTATTATTAGTTATTCAATCAGCAAACATTATTCTCATCTAATATAGAATCACCAGATCTGTGTTTTTCAAATCTGGGCTTGCAACTGAGATTCCTGCACACAGAGGAGTATGAGAAAATCTAGGCCAGACAGCCTCCTCTGGAATGCCTACCTCTGAAATCTCAGTCTTTGAAGACATCAAATCCCTTCAGAAATGCAGTGCATACCTTCAAGTTCAGCACGTTGCAAGGTCCCTGTGTTGCTGAGAGCCCTGGCTGAATCATCCAGCCCTTTGAGGAATTCTGAGTGCAAATGGTTAGCGAAATGACCTAGGGTAAAGAAGCGGTTCTTTTAGCCTGTGAGTGTAGGACACTACTTTTAGCCTGGGAATACATCTGTTGTCAGTCCAGAGCAACAACATCTTTTCAATAATGTGGTGACCAAAATAGTATACAGTATTCTAAACCTAGGTCATTCAGTTTAAAAGAACATCTCTCAATTTAAATTCTACACTTTAAGTATATATCCTCATTTTCTGTTTGCCTTTTGTACTGTTTTCCATATGGGCTACAACCAGAATTTAATAACTAATAGTAGTACAAAACAATTTCAAGGATCACTATCTCTGCACCAGGCTACTCATACCCTGACTCCTACCACCACTATCACCGTGAGACAAGCCACTGCTAAAATTTATGTGAGAATTTACATGAATAAAAGTCATTACCTTTTATGAATAATCTGTGAAGAGTGTGCAACTGACTAAAATATCCTGTAAGTCTTTGAAATGGTAATTTCAGCGGCCTCTAAGTGTCACTATTACAGGTCTTCCTTGGGCCAGCTTGCCTCAGCAATGAAAAAAAAAAATTCTTCCCTTCAGATACTCTAAAACGCAGAAACTCCAGGAGTGTGGGGAGAAACCTGAGTGTCTGTATTTCTTCACAGAAGCAGCTGGGGGTGACACAGACACAAACTCAGCAGAGACTCCAGAATAAAATGAAGAAGAAGAAGGAGCTGAGACAGGCTGTGAATTCGCTCAGTGTGGGTATAGCACCAAGGAGTGGATAACACTGACATTTCTAATACCTGGACACTGGACAGACTACTATCCTTAGAAAACACAATATGTGCAATATATTTTTAGTACATTCTACCAAGAATAGTTTAACAATAACTCTGACTTTTTTCTCTAGTTTTAAGAGCAGGCCTTCACCACTAGTTTGCCCAAGAAAAGCCCATCAGTTTAAATGTGAGTGTTTTCCTCTGTAATAATCTGCTGTGTGTCTCCTCAATCAGAGCTCTGCACAGGCAAACATAAAGGACCCTGTCAGGATCCTTCATGCTCTGATCCGCTTCATTGATGGAAAATGTTCTGACATTCGACACCTGATCAGAGCTCAAGAGAGGGAAGCAGTGAATCAGGCTGAAGGACTCTTAGTGCAACTGGAGCAGGAGATCACTGAGTTGAAGAGGAGAAATGATGAACTGAACCAGCTTTCACACACAGAAGATCACATCCATTTCCTCCAGGTAACATCACTGCTCCAAGACAATCTGCAGTACTGAAGGGTGTCTCCAACACAGAGCTCTCCAATGGAGCTGTTCCTGGCCTCCATGCAGCAATGTGTTTTGGAGCCCATTGTGTTTGACTGAAAACCTCTCTCTCTCGTCCTTGCTGTAGAATGTCCAGTCTCTCTGTGTCTTTCCTGGAGCTGAAGACTCACCACACATAACTGTCAATCCATACTTCTCTCCTGAGATTGTGAAGGAAGCTTTGTCAGGACTGAAAGAGCAACTGGAGGACATCTGCAAAGGGGGATTTGACAAGATCTCCAGGACAGGTTAGTGGAGAAACGTGATCTGAAGTCATTCTAAAATGCTAATTAATTTTCTGTTTTCCTTGTAACTAGATTTTCTGTACAAAACAGGAGCTAAAGTAACAGGAGAATAGTATACATGTCATCTCATTACAACAGAGGCTACAGTCCGTCCTGCTATAATAGGGGCTACAGTCACAGTAAGGTTTTATAGTTCTGTTAAAATAAGAATTAAGTCACAGTACAGTAGAGTTGTCCTGCTAAAATAGGTGC